TTCTTGCCACTTTTGAGAGCAGCGTGGGATAAGGTCCAATGACAAACCATCTCTGAATAAATCATGCCAAGAAAACCCTGTGATAGGTTCGCCTTAGGGTCGCCATAAGTTGAACACGACTTGAAGGCACACAACACACATCAGTAGCTTTGTTTTTATTGTTGTTATTTGCCATCAAGTGGACTCACAACATTGTGAGTTGTTTTTAATATTGTTGCTGTGTTTTTATATTATGTTTTAATTTATAATTCGATTTTATAACTTTTTAAGGGGTGGGTGGGGATTAGATTTTACTGTTGTATGTGTATTTTATTAATTGTTAGCCGCCCCGACTGATTTCAAAGGGGCAGGATATAAATAAATTTTATTATTATTATTATTATTATTATTATTATTATTATTATTATTATTAAGAACCATAGTCACCAACTGCCCTACTCAGTACTTCAAAAGCTTGAAAATCCTGAGGCTATACTCCCATTTAGCACCTCATATAATTTAGACCAGAAAGGCCATCCTTTGATCCTTAAATTATTAATGTTTATGGAACATGACCCTTAGAATTTTGGCTGCAGAAAAAAAAGAACTTTGCAACCTCTTCTGTTACCTTTTTTTTTTTTTTTTTTTTTTTTGGTATCTTCTAGCAAATATATAAAATACCATTCTAAAGCTCTATCTGGGAACTTACAGATGTACAGATGGCCCCTAAGGAGTGGCTCCGTGCTGCCCCTGGGAGCACCGGATTGGGGCCGCGGCAACCGTGTGCTGCGGCCCCAATCCGGCAGTTTGCTGCTCCCAAAAGAGCTGGCAAATACTGCTCCTTTTTGGAGCAGCAAAAAGATGCCCTTACTGCACTTCTTTGGTGCAGTATGTCTAAACGCAGAGCCAAGGGAGCACCCTGACGCTGCATGCTGTGAGGTGGGGCACGCGGTGTGATGGCGGCATTGGGGCGGATTCAGGGCGGCCAACGTGCTGTCATCCCGCCCAACTCCACCCCCAGGCCAACCCTTTTGGCTGGTCTGTACAGGCCCTTATTTAAAGGAGGTGTAACTAGTCTTAATCTGTCATCTTTATAAAACACACAGAAAAAGAGTATATGGGATAAGGATCCTACTAGTCCCTCCCTACAAGGGCACATGCGATCCTTGCACTCAATTCACTGGAAACGTTCCCCTAATGCAGCCGATGGAATCACATTGAATCTCTGCTACTTTGGTTGCTCACACGTGTAAGCATTTGAATAAAGATGAAGTCAATGATGCGCATGTACTCAAAACGTGTTCAAGACAAGCAGAGTTTTATCCTGGTTTATCCCAGGTCTATCCGCATCAGTTATTCACACAGCTGAGAATGCAAACCTTTCTGAAAAACTTGGAGGGAAAGTGCGACATCAATCATCACAAGTGAAGTGGGTTTTTTGGCAGCCCCCCCCCAAAAAAAACCTTAATTGGATGCATTCGAAATGCATGTGAACAACAAAGATTCAACCCAGATTCTACCTGGATTATTTTCACTGTCTGAAGAACCCCTTGGTTGACCCAATAATGGTATCCCCGATTTACGGTTTAGGGACTTTCTTCTCTTTTGCTGTGTGGCCAACACGTCTACTCCTAAATAATATCTTTCTCTCTCCATCTTTGGCTCTCTCGCTCGCTCTGTTTCTCTTTGTCCCCCTTGTTCTTGGGGACAATGAAATATGTTCCATACAATGAGTCGATTTTGACGGCCGAAAGCTGAGAGACCTCCAGAGATTTCGGCCCGGAAGGCCATGGGAGGAGGCGAAGGTGATGCCCAAGAGAAATGGAGGTCTGACTCTTGTCTCAAGTTTAATTTCGGAGCCCCAAGGAGCACAAAAGGACGGAGCCGGCTGTGGCCCGTTGTCTTTGGGTGGTCGGCCAGCAGGAAGGCTATTTCCAAATCAATTTGGCTGCTGGGCAAAGAAGGGGGGACAAGAGGCGAGACAATAGGGCAGACTAATCCATGTGGAAATGCCTCACGCCTCTCGCCTGAGACGTCCCCCCATCCCACTACACGTGCCGCCAGCCACCTCAGGGCCCCAAAGCAGCATGAAATGTCTTCCCCCTTTTCCTTTTTATCTCTCCATACCCCCCTCCGTCCGTCCCAAATTATCTCCGGCAGCAGCTGAGTTTGTCAGCCAACAGATCCGGGCTGGAAGAGGGATGAAGGAGGCCTGTGGCCTGGCAAATCCCAGTGGTCCCCACCGAGCCCAGAGCAGATGCCAGGAAAGTCCCCTGGTGCAAGCAAGCAACATTTGGCAGCTGAGGGGCCGAGCATGAAACATGACCCTTCCCTGGCTTCGGGCATGTGGGCCTAGCTTGCCCGGAGCGAAGGGTTTTGTGCTTTGTTTTGGCTTTTTGAGGCATGTGTATGTTGACATTAACACCCAACGATGCGCTCACATGTGAGACACACTCTCACCAAGAAGACACAGCTTGCTTGCTTGCTTTATTTATTTATTACAGGTTGAGTCTCCCTTATCCGGAATCCCGAAAGCCAAAATCTTCCAAAAAAACCCAAAACTGTTTTCATGGGTGGCTGATATGGTGACACATTTTGTTTTCATGGGTGGCTGAGATAGTGACACCATTGCTTTCGGATGGTTCAGGGTACACAAACTTTGTCTCACGCACAAAATTATTTAGAAATAATTGTACAAAATTACCTTCAGGACATAAAGCTGCACATGAAACATAAATGAATTTCAGGTTTCAATTTGGGTCCAGTGTCTAAGATATTTCATTATGTTGTTGTGATGTGCCTTCAAGTCGTTTCCGACTTATGGCAACTCTAAGGCGAAGCTATCACAAGGTTTTCTTGGCAAGTTTCTTCAGAGGGGGGTTTGCCATTGCCATCCTCTCTGGCTGAGAGGGTGTGACTTGCCCAAGGTCACCCAATGGGTTTCCATGGCTCCACTGGGATTCGAACCCTGGTCTCCAGAGTCATAATCCAGTGCCCAAACAACTACACCACACTGGCTCTCTAAAGATATGCAAATATTCCAAAATCCAAAACACTTATTGTCCCAACCATTTTGAATAAGAGAGACTCAACCTGTATTCATGTATTTGTTGGGGATCATCATTTTCATCATACATTTTTCCCAGTTTAGGACTCAAAGCAGTTTATAAAAGATTAAAAAAAATAATCTTACACAATTGAAAAGCCACAAAATACAAAAATTAAAAAGTGATTAAACTACCAAAAAATTTAAAACCATTTTAAAATATAAGCCATTCAAACAGTGATCATCTCTCAACCTGCAGAGTCCCTGAGGCAGTCAGTACCCACAAATAGGAATATACAGGTTGAGAGCCATGCCCTTCAACTGTCTTGATTTGGCAGGGGCACTCCTGATTAATCCTCTGCTGTCCCACTTTTTCAGCTGCTTTTAAAATGTCCCAGTTTCTATAGCTTCCTCCTGTTTGTACTCAGCTTACTTCAATTGCTGCAAACTGAGCTGAAAGCACAAAAGTAACTTGCACTCATTTAACTCAGCAAGAAGGAAAGGAGAGGAGGGGCCAGCATCTTTTAGAGGTTCAGGCAAAAACCACCTACCGTGGTCTCTCCTAGATGGTGTGCTCTTCTTCATTAATAACTTTTGCCATCTTGACCACCTCCTGATGTTCCTTGGCCACATATGTCCTGATTTTATCTGTAAAATGTCGGCAGGTATGGAGATCCTGTATCAGGTTGCACGGAGTGTATCTCCGGGTGCAGAGTTGTGCATTAATCTTGCCACATAATGCTTGTAGTGAATGGCAGACTTGCACAACTGAGCCAAGATACCCAATGTGCAACTGAGTGCACCATCCAACATGCATGCATATCCATGCACATTTCACACATAAGCACAATGTGCCTGTGATGCAGAATGGCACTCCATGTGCAACCCCGCTTGTGAAATCTTGGACTGAATGCCGATGTTCCGCAGCAGACAAAAACGCCCAACTGTTTCCATACCAGCTTTAAATAAAACCAAATTATATCTTGAAAATCATTTTCAAATATACACAAGAGTAGAACAGTATCTGAATCTATTTTAGAAACGATTAAGCCATGTCAGTATAGACCAGGAGCACTAGTAGCAAAGCTGTTAAGACTGCATCTGCATTGCAGAACTAATGCAGTTTGACACCACTTTGACTGCCATGGCTCAATGCTATGGGATCCTAGGAGCTGTAGTTTGCTGTAACAGGGAAGGCTACATTATCTCGCAAAACTACAAATCCCAGCATTGAGCCATGGCAGTTAAAACAATGTCAAACTGTGTGAAGTCAAAGGTTTTCACGGCCAACATCCATAGGTTTTTGTGGGTTTTTCGGGCTCTCTAGAAGAACATATTCCTGATGTTTCACCTGCATCTGTGTCTGGCATCTTCAGAGAATTCTCTGAGAATTCAAAGAAGGTGCCAGCCACAGATGCAGGCGAAACGTCAGGAATACATTCTTCTAGAACCTGGCCTCACAGCCCGAAAAACCCACAAAAACCAATGTCAAACTGTATAACTTTTGCAGTGGAGATCAAACCTTGGTTCACTCTATTTGCCCCTTTTCTTCTGATGTCTAAGCCATACAGTATTTTCAAATGCTCAACTGAAGTTTTAAGTCTCTGCAATGCTGGAAGCTAAGGGTTTGAATCAAAATTTCATTGGAAAGGCAGAATTCTTACTGGGAGGCAAAACCCTAATTTAGTTATACGCCTGCAATCCTCTATCTCTGTGGGGCAAAATCTTACATCAAACGCTCTGTAGGATTCCCGTCTCACCTGGACCGCTGTGGTTTCGCCTTCCACACTGTCCAGTCCAGCCTCACCTGTCCCATCCCAGAGACTCCTTTATCTAGCCATCTACTTCACCTTTGCCCTGTCTGTGATCTCTCTGGTCCTGCCCATTTTCTTTATTTTTTCCCAACAATTTCCCTCTTCTTGCAATTGTTTTCACTTTCTGGGCAAAACCACAGACCAAAGGGCAAAAGCAAGGCAATGGTGGATGAAATTTTATTGGGTTTCTTTTACCATTAGGTTAGGTTCTCCAACACACCCTGCGGTAGAATTCAAAGACCTAGCTGTGTTATAGTCTGGAAAATTGCTATGCAAAGGGATCTTGTCGCACCTTTGAGAAACTGAAAGATAGAAGTTGGTAGCATGACCTTTCATAGGACCTTATCCCACGGGGCCAAAAGCAGCAAGAATCCACATGGAATCAGGCGCTATAGCGCTATAGTTTTCCGGGTGATCCCACGACGTTGCTCAGAATCGGCTAAGAATCAGGCGCTATAGCGCTATAGTTTTCCGGGTGATCCCACGACGTCGCTCAGAATCCGCTAAGAATCAGGCGCTATAGCGCTATAGTTTTCCGGGTGATCCCACGACGTCGCTCAAAATCCAACAAGAAACTGCTCGGAATGCAGCATCATTCGGGTTCTTTTGAATGCCCGGTGTCAGCGGGCATTGCAATAGCGCTACCTTATCCATAGCGCTATTATAGCACTAGCGCCATATTATATTAGCGCTATAGTACTGCGATGATGCTCATATCGGTTTCTTGCCACTTTTGAGAGCAGCGTGGGATAAGGTCCCTAGACTTGAGTCTACTTCCTCAGATGTATTTGGACACAACCTGTGCTTAGCCCCAACCACAGTAGACTTATTGAATCCATGGGATTTCCCTAGGTGTTGAAGCATTATTTGACAATTGTTTCAATGGATCTAGGGCCATAGCTATTGCAAACACAGAGTAAAATGCAACCGCCTTACAAAACTCAGGAATACAGGTTGAGTCTCTCTTATGCAGAAATCCAAAATACTCCATAACCAAATTCAATCCAAACCTTTTCTCATGGGTGGCTAAGATAATGACACTTTTCTGATGGTTCAGTGTACACAAACTTGGTTTCATGCCCAAAATTGTTTTAAAATATGTACAAAATCAGGCTGTGTGTGAAAGGTGTATACAAAACATACATGAATGTCATGTTTAGACTTGAGTCCCATCTCCAAGATATCACGTTATACATATGTAAATATTCCAAAATCTTGAGAGAGAGAAATCCAAAATCTAAAACATTTCTGGTCCCAAAGCATTTTGGAAAAGGGAGACATAACTTGTAGTTTCTTTTTCAGATTTCAGATTACAGAATCTCCCAGGGATCCATATGCCTGGTACAGGCTTGCAGTGAGTCTGGGGAAAAACAAATTGGTCTCTGGACCATCCAAGGTTGCCCATTCCTGTACTAAAGAAGAGGGCCCATGCAACACAATGGGACATACTTCTGAGTCAAACCTGTCTAGGATTGCTTTGGAAATCCTGAGGAATTCTGGAGGTTTCCATTAAAAATAAAGAATTATAAAATTATAAAAAAGGTTATATCCATCAACTGCTTTTCGAGCCCTGCAGTACAGGGAAGAATATACAGCAAACCTTGCAAGGTAGACCTGAAGGTGTTGACGTTCACAGTAAAGTCCTTTATGTGTCTTCTCAGAAGTGTTCCCATTGAGTTCAATGACATTATGTGCCTTGGACTCCAAGTTATGGAAACCCTGTCCTAGTGTTTTCTTGGCAAGATTTCCGCAGAGGAGATTTGCCACTGCCTTCCTCTGAAGCCAAGATGACTAAACTGAGATTGTTTTATGTTGGACACATCATGGGACAATATGATTCATTGGAAAAGGTCTTCCTTCTTGGACTGATGGACAAACAATTAGAGAAGAAATATGGAAAGACTTTACATTATATGATTACAGCTGCGAGAATTGTTGGTGCTCAGAAGTGGAAAGAAGCGTACAACAAAAAAAGATCGGCTGACAAAGATTGTTGAACATGCAGAGATGGATAAATTGTCCATTTGAATCCAGGAAAAATCTTTAACTAGATTTAAGAAAAATTAAGAACTGTTTACTTCTTTTATGTACTCTCACCAAGGGGCAAATGTCAATTTTAGGTTTTGTTAAGTGAATTAGATTGGATTATCTTGTAGAAGTAAAACTCATCTTTTTATAGAGCAGAGCCAATTCAACACAATTCAACTTTTTTTGTCAGCTGTCATAAACAGTGTTAGACTGTGATTCTGGAGTCTAGGTTTCGATCCCCCATTCTGCCATGAAGCTCACTGGGTGACCTTGAATGAATCACACTCTCTCAGCCTCAGGAGAAAGCAACGGCAAACCTCCTCTGAACAAATCATGCCAAGAAAACCCCATTGATACATTTGCCTTAGGGTCGCCATAAGTCAGAAACGACTCGAAGGCACACAACAACAGCAGACTCCATCAAAGAAGGCACAGCCCTGAACTTGCAAGACCTGAGCAGGGCTGTTGAGGACAGGGTAACTTGGAGGTCTCTCTTTCAGAGGGTCACCATAAGTCGAAGACAGCAAATAACCCCCTGGCTCAATAATAAACTCCGAAAACTAGAAAACGAAAGGCAAATGAGAGTACAAGACCATAATCCTTCTCCTTGCCTTTATTCCTTCCCATCTCCCCAGTGGAAGATGCTGGATAAGGGAAAGTGTTATCTTGATGGATCAGAGGATCCAGGATGAGCAGGAAAGTCTAAAGTCCTCCTGCCATAAATTCATCAACCAAGGTTTCCCTTGCTTGATGTGTTTTCCTTGAAGCATCTTAACATTTTCAGAATTTAAAAGTTCTTAGAAAATTCCCGGACTGGAATGACATCTCCACTGCACTATACTTTTGCATAGAGATGAATCTTATGACTCTGAATAATTTTGCAATTCATTGTATCCCAAACTACCAAGTGGAGTTTTTGGACCATCAATGGATTCTATCCAAAAATCTAGACTGCAGAAAGAATCCAGTTTGACACCACTTTAACTGCCACGACTCAATGCTATGGAATTCTGGGAATTGTAGTTTGGGGAGATATTTAGAATTCTAGAGCTCTGATGTACTCTTGTCATCCTGTTTCCAGAGATTTCATTCATTGTTCAGTCTGTTTGAGCACCTCTTTCCACCGGAAC